TGTGTGTGTTTGATGTGTGTGTGTATCTGTGTTGTGTGTAATATACATTTAATATGTGTGTGAGATGTGTGCTTGGTGTGTGTGTGGGGGCATACATGCATGCCATGATGTTTATGTGCAGAGGACAGCTTTCGGCAGCTGATTCTCTTTTCTCCCCATGTTATGACAAGTTTCCCTCATTTCTGCTGCTCTGTGTACTTCAGGCTACCACCTAAGACTTCACTGAAGAAGTGTCAGTATTACAGATGCAAGCTTCAGATCTGGCTTTCTGTACCTTCTGGATTGAACTCAAGTCATTAGGCCTGTGTGGCCAGTACTTTTACCACTGAGCCGTCTCCCTAGCTTGTCAGGGACAACTTTAGTTCATTGGGCTTGTCATTTTCTGTGTATGCAGAGAGTGGGTATGTGTGTGCAGGAAATTCTGTGTGTGTGTGTGTGTGTGTGTGTGTGTACATGCTCATGCATGTTTATATGTTCATGTTTATTTATGTTCACAGGGAGACAAAAATACAATCTCAGCCATCATTCTTTCTCAGGCTTCTATTTTGTAGTTTTGTTTGTTTGTTTGGTTGGTTGGTTGGTTGGTTTGGTTTGGTTTTTTTGCTCAGATTTCATTTCTATTTTTTTATTGAAAAATATTCATACAGTATATTTTGTTCACAATTTCCCCTCCCCAAGCTCTTCCCTGTCTTTCCACTCACCCAACTGCATGTCCTTTCTTTATCTCTCTCTCTTTAGAAAACAAACGATCTTGTTTTGTGAGAGAGACTGTAACTGCAACTTAGGATCCCATGATTCATCTGGGGTATCTGACTGTGAGAGCCAGAGATTCACCTGTCTCTTCACCCCAATTCTGGGATTGCAAGCATGTGTCAATGAGTTATGAAGTTCTGGGATCACACGTCAGCCCTCATGCTTGGTACACACTTTACATGTGAATATATTTTCTCAGTCCCTAGCTATTCTTATATAAACCACCATCAGTTGTAAGTTACCATCAATATCATTTCTTTTGGGTTATCTGGATAGCCCTGGAGTCTGTAAATGCATACACATATAAACAACTCTTGGTGCTTTCATCTTTCCAATTCAACAATTAGACTTAGTTAACATAGGTGCTACAATATGGAAATGAACTACTCAGGCATTCAGTTACCTGGCAGATATACTCACAATTTGATCTCACTGTGATGTTTCCCTGTAATGACATTTTTCCTCACCCTTCTATGTCCCTACCTCTCAAGAGAGAATGAGATAAGGCAGAGATGTGGTCAGTGTAGTAGTTTGTATTGTTGTCCTTGAACTGAGTAACACATCATGTATTTTAAGAGACTACTATGTAAACATTCCATGCTAAAAATTGCAGTGACCATGAGTGAGCATCCTGTATTAAACAAGTTGATCTTCTCTAAAAACACAGATTAAATAAATGTTTACCACAAACTATCTCGAAAAGTGAAGCTTGTCATGGAATTAGCCTCTCTGGCAAAGTGTCATCTTTTAATTTGCACAGGAAAGCTAGGATTCTGAAATTTTAAACCTTTCTTCTTTTTTTTTTTTATTTTTGTTTGTGAGATAGTTCTCTCTATATAGTCCTGGAACTCACTCTGTAGATCAGGCTAGACTCAAACCTCCAGAGAGCCACCTGCCTCTGCCTTCTCTAGGAGCTAGAGAGATGGCTCAGCAAGTAAATGTGCCTGCTGCCAAGCCGGATGAGCTGAGGTCTTCTCCCTTGGACCCAAGTTATGGAAGAAGAAGGAAGGAAGTCCCACCGATTGCCCACTCACTTGCACATGTATTCCATTGGCACTCACAGATGCAAACACTCAAAGCAACTGTAACAAAAAAGAGTTACATATCAGTTCCTGGGTCTGTATTATAAGGAAGCACCGTAGCGAGGCCATAGTGTGCCGTATATATTTGGATGGTATCTGAAAGCCCTCTGGAAAGTATGTCGAGAGGAGGAAAGTTTCTCTCAGCATCAATCGAACTGCAATTGGCTCTGACCCTAAGGGCAAGTTCTGCCAGCCAAGAGTTGAAAACCACCATACACTGGGACCTAAATAGTCCATCAACATATTAACCATGTCTTGTTTCCTTGGCATGTTGTTGCTTCTAGAAAAAAATATTTTCAGATTATAAATGTAAAAAAAAATTTAGATTATAAATACATGACATACATAGAAAATTACATACATAAGTACAATTTTAATTTTATCAGAGGGTGAAACAAGTTAGCCATTGTAACAAATAGCACTGATAAAATATTGTGATGAAGTGGCACTCACTGATGAAATGATCTGAAATGGTCGTCCTGTCATGTAAATTACAGGCAAATCATGTGCAAACCACATGTCTACTGCTCCCTTTGGTTTCACATGAAGTTACTAACTTTTAGGTTGGATTCAGTAGTGAGTTCAAGTTGAGCCTTGAGTCCCTACTCAGAAAACAACGTTGCTGTGGTAAGGAAGTGAGAACCCTTCCTCTGCAGTAAGTCAGGGAGGCAAGCCTGGTCCCTGCCCCTTACCTTACCTGCAGTTGTTCAACATCAGGCATTTTCCATAGTGATTCTTCTTTCATTAACCAAATGATGTCATAAAACTGCCCCCTGGTGCTTTATGACTGTTAAATTGGACAGTAAAAAGCCAAAAATCAATGCAATGCTTCTCACTAAAACAATATTCAATATATGCTATATAGATATAGAAAACAATAATCCTGGGAGGGTTGTGAAAGTCCGAAGGTATGTCAGGTATGTCAGAAACAGAAATGCCATAAACACAGGCATGCAAGCAGAGACTCCTTTTGCACACTTGACTTTTAAATCTCCCCACTGATTGTCAGAGTTCTCTTTGCAGTTGTGACTTTCTTGGATTCTTCTCTTCCTTAAAGTGTAGTCACTGCCTGTGCCTTTTCAGTCCTTCATATCTCTATGCTGGGCATATAAGAGAGTCAGTGTGGCTAGTCTGTATCAATCCATTACTCATGATTAGCCTATCCTCATGCTAACCACGTGGAGTTGTCGTAGGGTGAGAAAGATAACAAAGACCAAATGATCTCTTTCTGGGAATTAAGGGCATAGAAACAAACACAGAATTAAGGATGGGTCGTCTTCAAATTCTGCTTTAATAGTTGCTAGGTAGACCCACCAATTTCCAAATTGGACAAGGATATTTTAATTGGAGCAAAGAGAGAGAAAAAGAAAGTATCTCTTGGTTGTTTTATTTAATCTCTAAGCACCTACATAAGTGGCCAGTTATTTAATTTTTTTCATTATTACATTTAAGAATAATGTTCTGAAAAGATATTTACTAGGGATGCATTTTTATCAGAAATAGTCGTACAGAATATGCACAGTGTCCTATGAGACACATAAATTTGTTTAAGCAAGCAATTATCAAGTATACTGGTAAGTCACCAAGAGCCAGTTACCCAGAGGGAGAGACAAGTCCTGCAGACATAGGGGTCCAGGCTTTTTCACTTTCCTCAATAGCAGGGTAACTAGGCACCGTCTTGATGGCAAGTAACTGGGACAGCTATTCCAAGGAGATTGTAATCTCATTTTGAGATTAAAAGAAACATGGCTGCTGCCCAAGAGACTACGAGGTTAAATGTAGAGACGTAGAGAGTAGTTGGAAGTATGAGGAGAAGGTCGAGGCCTTTAGAATCTGTTATCTGATACATGCACTTCACATTTCAAGAGATTCTTTGTGTGTCTTTTTTGTTCCACCGAAGACTGGCAGGGGTATTTGTCCCTCATCTCCTTTTCTGATGGCAAGGGCAAAAAGGAGGGGCAGGAACCTCACCAATGCCACTGCACAGCAAACGAGAGCTCTCCGTTGCTCATGCCCTCAGGGGCGGCTCACCTGCAACCCCACATACAGGCCAGCTCTACTATGACGCACAATAGAGGTGTAGGGCCTACTCTCCCGAGTGCTGACCCTGCCAGCTCTCCCACACTGAAGCCTTCATAATAACTTCAGGGCCAGCTTTCCTGCCTGCTGTAGGTGACAAGGACTAAGGGAGGATGTCTCACCCATGTGACAAGCAGACAAGTTGCAGTTGCAGGGCCAGCTCTCCCACACTCATGCCCTCAGGGCAGGCTTGCCCATGCCCTCACCACCAGGGTCACCTCTATTGTACTATCCGTGTGAGGTACAGGACCTGTTCTCCTGAGTGCTGCAGCTGATGAAGGGCAGGGATAGCTCTCCTGCTCTCATGATCCTGTGGCCAGGTTTTCCACCTGCTTCGAGTGGTGAGCCGGGAGGGGAGAGGAGAGTTTCTCTTTCTTGCCCATGCTACCACACAGTAGAGCCATCTTTCCCACACTCATATCCTCTGGTCCACAAACTTGCAACTTTTGCCACGTGTGGGGGCTGATCTCCTGAGTACTGCAGCTGGTGAGGGGAGGAGTCAGCTCCCTTGCTATCATGCTCCCAGAGCCAGCTCTTCCACGATGCCCAGGCAAGGGCTGGGGCAAGTTCTGTATAGCTCTCAGACATCAACATGTCCCAGGGCAGCAGTCCAGACCAGTGACATTGGCTTGGCCTTTGGTGGTAACAGATTCCCCACTGCTGTAGTGCCACATGCCCTAATGTGGCCCCCAGTGGTAGCCCAGGCCAGGACCCACCATGGCTGCCAGGTAGCATCACCAGCTTCTCACATCAGGCTGTTCCTCAATGCCCTTGAGTCTTCAGTTCTGCCTTTCTTCATTGTGCCCACATCCTTCTGTTTCTCTTTCTCTTCCATTTCTCCACACTTATTTGCTTCTCTTAGGGATGGCTGGGGTCTGTGAGTGTTTGGGGTCATATCAGGAGTGGAGACCTTTGGAGTGCTATGCCCCACTCATGCATTATGGCACTAGGCAGAGGTCATCTTGGGCATGTTCTGCCCCTAGTCCCCAGGATTGCACAGAGCCAAAATAGTGGTCATCTCAGGCTTCTCTGTCCAGGCCCTCTAATGTTGGAGTGTTGGCTGAGTAAGACTTGCTCTTTTCAGGGCGTGTTAGGCTACTGATTGCTCAGATGTTCAGAGATCAGGACACTGAGCATAGACACAGTCTCATTCCTCTCTGCTGCCTACTAACGGACGTGTGACATGGTAGCCACACCTGCCATCCCTCGAGGCCCAGTATTGTAAGACATTTTTAAAGTTCAGAGAGCATAAAGAACAGCGTGTTTCTCTCCTTTCTGCTCAGTTAGAATGGCCACAAACCTAACATTTTTTCAGTCTCTTTGTAATATAGAAGTGTATGTGTATCTTTAAATATTAATATTATACATTTTTATTTGTTAAGTGAAATCATGTGATCAGCTTAACTGGAATTTATTTTTCATACAGTTATTTCTTTAAGACTAGTTGATAATATGCATGTTTGTATGAGAGTTTGTGTGTGTGTATATGTGTGTGTATGTGTGTGTGTTTGTGTGTGTGTGTCTGTGTGTGTGTGTCTGTGTGTGTGTGTGTTTCCCTTCTAGTGGAAGCACTAGAATAAGAAGGTCAGGATTGAGAAATTCCTAAAATAGGAAGTATTACCCTTAAGGCAAGATTTGGAATCTGGAGCCTGTGTTGGGGTTTCAATGCCAGTTGTCAACAACAACGCAAAAGTTTAGGAAAGACCAGTTTCTATGCTGCCTCATGTCCACTTCTTCCTGGGGTATCCAGACCCATTAGACACAGAGCAGGACTGGAGGAAGGAGAGCTTAACCCAGTGTGGATGGGTGTAGTGCAGGATCTCAGTTGGGAATGAGTACACAGGCAATGATCACATCTGGAAACAGCTCCAGAGAACTGGTTCCTTTATTGGGGAGAGGAAGGGATATTTATGCTCTGGGGAGATGGCCAGAGTTTCTGGGGTAAGGTTTGCATGACTGTACACCATTGGCCAGGGCAGTGATATTAGAAGATATATCATCTACATACTTAGGAGGTGTAGGGTTGAGGGGGTACCTTATACTGTCAAACAAGGAGTGAAGCTTGATAACTATCAGGGTAATAATTTTTTTAATAGGGTTGATGTTGTGAGAGCTCACTTTATGGGGATAGGTTTGCAGTAGGGAGGTAGCCAACTCTTGCTGTCCTTATGTTTGATCATGTTTAAGGTATCGGCACTGAAGCTCCTCCTACCCTTCCTCTGTAACCCTTGGCCATTATGGTCATACACTTCTGTGCCACACTTAGTGGTGATAATTAGGGAGTTAAGAACAGAAATGTTAAAGGAAAAAGAATAACTCTGTTACACATAAAGTTTTAAAAATTAAGTTTGGAAACTATCACATTCATTTTTCCTATTTTAAAGTGTGGCTCTGAGATCTCACAGTGACCTAGATTTTATATGTGTAAGTCTTATGTAGGGGAAGAAACTGGGAGATGTAATTTCCAGGTCACTGACTGCTGTGATCTGATTGTCCACAGTATCTTCTTCTTCTTCTTTTTTTGTCCGTATGGTATGATCTCATTCTTTATTCTTTTGATATGGTAAACAATATATTAATTAATTTTTATTAGTAACTTTTTAATAATGTTAATCAAAGGTTTTATAAGTTTGGTAATGCTCAATAATAAAATGCCCATACAATCAGGAGTGCAACTCAGTACCCAACCTAGATATACAAATTAACTTTGACTGGCTGAGACACACGAACATCCACCTCCATGTTCCCCTGCCCCCCCCCCCCGTCTCCTAGCTCCTTCTCTCCTCTTCCTCCTCTCCTTACTCCTCCTCTTCTTCTCCTTACTTCTCCCACCTTAGCTCCTCCTACATATCACACTTCCTCTTAAAATAAAACTTTTCTCTCAAAATACAATTAGAGCATAACTATACCAATTTGTATCAGTAAGGTACAAGATAGACCTAATACCCAGTCCATCATTATGGTGACTAAATAGAACCTCTGTCATCTCTCCTAACTAAAAGACTTAGTTCTGAACCTGGCTTTTTTCTTGGCTTTAGAATGAATGTCAGCTGAAAACCATCCTCTCAAATGTTTTCTCTCAAAGTAAATAGCTGGGATTGGCTATGAGACTATAAGTCTTCAACCTTGTCAGAAATCCAGAATGACTGAATTAACTGAAATTATGGGAAGCACAAAGCATAGCTTCTAAAACCTAGCCAATTTATAGAGACCGTTGAACACCTGGACAGTCCCTATACTACAGAACGTTGGAGCATCCAGTCTTCAACCTTCTGGCCCAGGATCATCTGACAGACCTAGTGATGCAGAATCATTAAGGGCTGATTACTCTGTCTTGGCAGATATAATCAGTTGACTATTCTGCAAGTGTGTCCTTTTCTGGACAGTAATTTGTCTGTAGATGAAAAGAGGCAATTCTTGTCTAGTGGCTGTCTCACCACAACTGGAGTAATTCCAAAGATGCTCAATTTCTTCTTAGAATCCAAGACAGGGAAGCTGTCAGGAGCAGACAGGTCTCTAATCAAAATGAACATTAATACAGAAACGTTTGTAACATCAATTCTGAAGACTTCTGACATTTTGAAAACCAACTATCCATGTAAGGCAATCTGGACTCTTGTCTGTTAATTCCTCTAAGCTATTTCTAAATGAAATATAGAAAACACCCTAACAATAAACTCAGAGCCATGAATTTGCTATAGGCCCTTAACTCACAGGCTAACCATCTTGAATCAGCTAAAAGAGTTAAAGAAGGACTGGGCCTAACCATTGTATTCTTAAATGTGTTATATAGGCACACTGCCTATGAGAGTAACAATATTAATCTCACTTTTATATCAAGAAGAAACTAGTACCACTGAAAACCTTAAATTTGAAATCAAAGTAAATTTTGTACCATTTAAGAAATTATAACTTCAGCATAATAACAATTATATAAATTTCTACCAATAGGGTATGGCTATGCAATAAATCCTAGCTATTTCTCCCTGTTCCAACAAAACCACTACATTTCCCTAGAAAGACAGCCCAATATTAGCCACCTCTGTCCCCAAGCCCAGGGAATAGGGGCACCAACTCTTCATTAACTTCTTCAAGCTGATTATAGGCATTGAGATATTCCAAGAGGGGTGAAGCGGGAGAGTAAATTGATAAGCCTCTGACATCCATGTCTTCACTGCATCCAGCTGAAATTTCAGGACATCAGAGGTTTGAGTGGGTCTGCTCAGCTTGCTTGATGAGTAGATACACCAAGGCTGTGTATTCTGCAATATACAATTCTCAAAATAAATTTTAGTATCAAGATATTTTTTGTTTGAATTCTGGAATCTAGTCTTCTGATGGCCTATCTCTATCATATTTAATCAATATAATTCTGGGAGTTTTTATGAGGGTATGCTCCCTCCATCCTCTCAGTCCCGCCTCCCTGCTCTCAAATTGCCCAACACTAGGGAATCCAAACTACCAGGCACCAAGGCCCTCCACTTCCAATGATGCCTGACAAGACCACCCTCAACTACCTATACAGGTGGATCCATGAGTACCTCCCTTTGTGTTCTCAGGCTGGAGGTTTTAGAATGGCTACTCCAGCTTGTTTCTTAGGATCATTTGCTTGAAAAATTGTTTTCCAGCCTTTTACTCTAAGGTAGTGTCTATCTTTGTCACCAAGGTGGGTTTCCTGTATGTAGCAAAATGCTGGATCCTATTTACATAGCCAGTCCATTAGCCTATGTCCTTTTATTGGGACATTGAGTCCATTGGTGTTAAGATATATTAAGGAACAGTGATTGTTGCTTCCTGTTATTTTTGTTATTAGACGTTGAATTATCTTTGTGTGGCTACCTTCTTTTGGATTTTTTGGCAGAGAATTACTTTCTTGCTCTGTCTAGGGTATGATTCCCCTCCTTGTATTGGAGCTTTCCCGATAATATCCTTTGTAATGCTGGGTTTCTGGAAATATATTCTGTAAATTTGGTTTTGTCATGGAATATCTTGGTTTCTCCATCTATGGTAATTGAGAGTTTTTCTGGGTATAGTAGCCTGGGCTGACATTTGTGTTCTCTTAGGGTCTGTATGACATCTGTCCAGCATCTTCTTACTTTTATAGTATCTGGTGAGAAGTCTGGTGCAATTCTGGTAGGTCTGCCTTTATATGTTACTTGGTCTTTTTCCCTTACTGCATTTAATATTCTTTCTTTGTTTTGTCCATTTTTGTGTTTTGATTATTGATGGGAGATATTTCTTTTCTGGTCTAGTCTATTTGGTATTCTGTAGGTTTCTTGTATGTTTATGGGCATCTTGTTCTTTAGGTTAGGGAAGTTTTCTTCTATAATTTTGTTGAAGATATTTATTGGCCCTTTAAGTTGGGAATCTTCACTCTCTTCTATACTTATTATCCTTAGGTTTGGTCTTCTAATTTTGTCCTCGATTTCCTGGGTGTTTTGTGTTAAGAACTTTTTGCATTTTGTGTTTTCTTTGACAGTTGTGTCAATATTTTCTATAATATCTTCTGCACCTGAGATTCTCTATCTCTTGTTTTCTGTTGGTGATGCTTGCATCGATGGCTCCTGATTTTTTTCGTAGGTTTTCTATCTCGAGGGTGGTCTCCCTTTGTGATTTCTTTATTTCTACTTCCATTTTTATGTCCTGGATGGATTTGTTCAATTCCTTCACCTGTTTGTTTGTGTTTTCTTGTAATTCTTTAAGGGATTTTTCTGTTTCCTTTTTAAGGGCTTCTACCTGTTTAACTGTGTCCTCCTCAAATTCTTTGAGAGTGTTATTTATGTCCTTCTTAAAGTCCTCTATTATTATCATTAGAAGTGATTTTAAATCTGAATCTTGCTTTCCTGGTGATATGGGGAATTCAGGACTTTCTAGTGTTGGAGAACTATATTCTAAAAATGCCAAGTACTGTGGGTTACTGGTGTTTATGTTCTTTTGCTTGCCTTTAGCCATCTGGATCTCCTTAGTGCTACCTGCCCTGTCTCTGACTGGAGCCTGTCTTTCCTATTGTCTTGGTTGTTTCAGAACTGTGTGGGGTGAGTGTTACTACTGGGGTTAGAGCTGGGGCCCAAGATCTGCTCAGTGATTGGGCCCAGACTCGAAGGAACCAGTGCTCCTTGGCAGGAGAATATTCGTTGGTCCCAGTTACTCCTCGTTTGGGGCCGGTGTTGCTGTCTCCTAAACTAGGATACTGCCAAGGTTAGAGCTCCTGGGAGGCC